CCGATGGCCGTAACGTATTTTGCAACACGTTGGTACATTTGGCGTTTTCAACTTAAAAAATATATAATCTTCCAAACATTTACATAGTGATATTATTAGCTTTACTTTGCAAGAAAAATTAAAATCGCGTATGTAGCCGTTGTGGAGATATACACTTAAATGTATTTTTTTTTATAAATTAATGCGCCACAGTAAGCTTAACATGTGTTCTAGTGAAAAATACCACAGCAATTCGCTATATATGTATATATATATATATATATATATATATGTATATACCTATATATAAATATTGATGGTTTTCCGGGATCTGCTCCGTGTTGTCGGTTTTTGGTTCTTAAATGAACCGTATGTCGGACGACGTTTCGGTACAATCTTATGTACCATCTTCAGGTCTTATGTTCTAGTGAAAAATACCACAGCAATTCGCTATATATGTATATATATATATAAATATATATATATATATACCTATATATAAATATTGATGGTTTTCCGGGATCTGCTCCGTGTTGTCGGTTTTTGGTTCTTAAATGAACCGTATGTCGGACGACGTTTCGGTACAATCTTATGTACCATCTTCAGGTCTTATGTGCTGGGCTGCTGTTGCTGCTCTGCTGCGAATTCATACATATAACGCCAGTGGAAACCTAAAGCAGCAGAGCCGCAACAGCAGCCTAGTAGATAAGACCTAAAGAGGGTACATGAGATTGTACCGAAACGTCATCAGATATACGGTTCTTTTAAGAAACAAAAACCGACAACACAGAGCAGATCCCGGAAAACCATCAATACATATAACGCCCGTGAAAACCTAAAGCAGAACATTAATCTCGTTAATTTGCGTGGCGTTTTAGTGGTTGTGAGAGCTGGTTTTTATGCAGTTGGTAGTCTCTGTGTATCGTCTCTTGTGTTGAGGTTTCTTGGCCCTGTGTTCGATGCTAGCCAAGACTGCGTTACGATGTTCTTCGAGTTTAACGTTGATACGTCTATTGGTGTGTCCCACGTAGCTTCCGTCACAATTCTTACAAGGAATTTCGTACACCCCTTGTGCCTCCAACTCTATTTTTGGTTTGGCGTTTGGAAGTATTTGACCGATATTTTTTGGGGCGGTAAATGTTGTCTCAATGTTATGATTTTTGAGAACTTTGCCTACTCTCTCGGTTGTCCCTTTCACGTAGGGAAGGAAGGTCTACGAAGTTGGTTTGTTGTATTAGGCCTCATTTAACCGGCGTCGTGGTCTAAGAGCCTTTTTGATGATGGTTTTGGAGAATACGTTTTGCTGTAGCCTCCTTTGGATTTTCAGGTCTTCTTGTTTCTTGTGGTCATCATCCGCCAGCCTTTCGGATCTCGTGACAAGTGTCTTAATGACTGACTGCAGTTGTGACGGGTGGTGGTGTGACTGTCCTTCTGCCCAAGTTTGCCATTATTTTTCTTGATTATGAAGACATCCAGAAAATGTAATTGGTGTTTTTTCTCGGTTTCCATTGTGAACTTTAACCATTTTGGAATTCTGTTGAGATGGTCCAGGAATTTCTTCAGTTCCTCTTCTCCGTGGGTCCAGATGACAAATGTGTCTTCTACGTATCGTAGCCATAACTTTGATTTTAGTGTTGCCGTTTCAATTGCTCATACTACTATGTCTTCCATAAATAAGTTGGCTATTGCTGGCTATATTGGAAAATTGACTTTAAAAAAACAAGGGTCTTGGCTAGCATCGAATACAGAACCAAACGTACCATCAGTGAAGCCATTGAAATAGAAAAATGTCCAAAAAACCTCAACACAAGAGGCGATACACAGAGACTAAGCTTACTATTGCAAATTAATTTATAAAAAATTCATTTAAGTGTATATCTTCACAACGGCTACATACGCGATTTTAATTTTTCTTGCAAAGTAAAGCTAATATTATCACTATTTAAAAAAAAACGTTTGGAAGATTATATATTTTTTAAGTTGAAAACGCCAAATGTACCAATGTGGCAACGATCCAAAACGTGTACAATTTTTTTCTGCATCAACCCACCGCTGGGAAATCTTGACAAAACACTGTGCAAATTCTGAATCTGGACGCATAGTTACTGTAAAGTCACTTTTAGGCACTCGTTGGTCAGCTCAAGATGATGCCGTTCACGCTCTTGAACATCATTTCCCAGCAGTCATCTCAGCTTTAGAAGAAATGGAAGATGATATCGTTCAAAAATGTACGACGCGAAACGAAGCATTGGCATTTGACAACAACTTGAATCATTAGAAACTGCGTTTATGCAACAGTTGTGGAGCTTCCTGTTATCTTCCATGAATTCTGTGAGTAAAAAATTACAAAATGTCAAGACAACTATTGTTGAGGTAGTTGAACTTTTAGAAGGGCTGAACAAAATGATTAGTGATACGCGTAAAGATTTTGACTCGTATGAAGAGAAAGCGCTCGCTATTTCCAAGAACAAAGAATATAAAACGGTTACTACGCGAAAAAAGACGAGAAAAATAAGATGCGATGAATCTAGATAAAATAAAGTATTTGCTCAGAAAGGTGCATTTTATTTATTGAAAAACTTCGTACCAAACTTTCCACCATTGAGGAAGTTTCGAGGGGGGGCGGCAATTTTTGCAACTGCCTAGGGGCGGCAAATTTCTAAATCCGGGCCTGCCTCCAAGACCTGTGATTTGTCGTTTTGGATGCCCCCGCATCATCATCTCCGACAATGGTGTTCAATTCGACAATCCAGAAGTTATTGTCCGACATGGGGATACAACACCGCTTTACACCCCCATACACCCCTCAATGCAATCCTGTAGAACGAGCCAACAAAGTCATCAAGACTATGGTGGCACAATACTGTGAAGCGGATCAAACCAAATGGGACAGTTGGCTACCGGAATTTAGGATAGCTATTAACTCAGCGGTACATGATTCAACCGGATTTACACCAGCATTCCTAAAATTTGGACGAGAGTTAGAAACACCCAACAGTCTAACTACCTCTAAAAATCTGCCTGAAGACCTTGCCGGGGTACCAGAAACCCCGAAGCACACGGAACGCCTTAAAAAAACTCCATGAAACTTTTGAGTTGGTAAAATTAAATATGGAACTGGCCTTTACCAACCAAAGCACCCAGTATAATTTACGGCACAGAGAATGGAGATGCAAATTAGGAGAGAAAGTCCTTACAAAAGAACACCTCTGCCGCTAGGAAGTTTAATGCAAAACTTGCCCCAAAATATGCCGGGCCTTTCGTTGTCCTGAAGGAAAATGGGTGAGGAATATACATATTAAAGATCTAAAACCTTTTATTGCAGAACATGAACACCCCCCAGCGCCAGATAATCCAGGATCTCTTCGGATACTCCCCGGTCCTGGACCTGAACACCTCTCCCCTCCCAGACAGCATCATGTGGGACACACCGCCGCCAGCCGTGCTGACGCCACCCAGGGCCATCACGCCGGGGAAGGGCCTTACGCCCATCCTGGCCAAGATGCCAGTCTCCCCCAATAGTCCGAGCGCCGGGGTGCCCATCCCCAGGCGTCTACGAATCGAGGGCCTGACCTGGCTCAATATGCCCCTGCTGGAAAACCCAGCCCCAGCCCAGGGCATCACCAGGCTCCCGACAGCCCAGAACATCTGGCGTCCCCCAACCCCGGAGCCGATCGTCCCGCTCCCTCCACGCCGGCTGCCGACGACCATGCCGCCACCCAACCAGCCACCTCCTCGGCGAAGCATCCCTGCAGACCAGATGCCCCTGACGACCAACCTCAGGGAGATTCACCGGCTGCCGTCCGACCACCCAGATGCAGCAGTTCGCCGAAGGCTCTGGTTAAAGAGCGGAAGAAGGCTCTGGGTGAAAATTCCCCGAGGCAAGTCATCCATTTTTATAGAGGACCAGTAACCCGGAGCCGAGCCAAACCATTAATTTTTTTGTTTTCTTACATTTTTTTTTTAGTTTTTTCGAATAATTTTCTTTATTTTCCTATTTTAAAAAGTTTTATTTGTTTTGAAAGTTTCCAGAAATCATTTCCAGTTCTGTTTTCAGAAAACTGAAAGGTAAGGGGGGATGTAACGATACACATTACGACATCTATGAGACGATTTTCCTAACTACCCGACGTCAAGGAAACAGTTGGACTACCAGAAACCTGCAGTTAAACGGAACTCTAACAGATGGCGCTTGGACAGCTCAAGTCTGTAATCAGAATTTCGTCTATAAAACCGCTGCATTTTTCAATGGACAATCAGTCAATTGACAATTCCAAATGGTGTTACCAATTGTGAGCCCGAAAACCAACCACTAAATCACAGAGAACTCTCAGTGGAATATTAACAGTAAGTTAACCTGTTTTTAATATCTCAGGGCTTTAAGCCGTATAATATTAAGCTTTAATAACATAGTTAATTAAACTGTAAATCCTGTATGCATAAAACATAAACTAACAACATGTATTTTTTCACTAGAGTCCAATTGCAAATCTGCCCTGTCCCTCTGTAGGACTGAAAACCACGCCCGTGCCTGCCAGTTGCCTGTGAAAATCCCTGGAACATTTGCCTGTCCTGACTAAAGGCTATGAAAGAACCTTTGTGTTCATGGTCTACGATACTTGTAAATACTGTATATATAATTATAATATAATTTTGTACATACTTTTACATAGGTAAATAAACCAGTTTAAGTTTACTTTTGCATTTTAAATTAAACCACCAACCCTAACTGATTCTTATAAACCCTACTTTCTCCACTGAATAAAAGCAACCCGAGGTAGGTATTCCTCTATATCTGGAGAGTCAACCGGAAGGAACCTTGGTGAAGTACTTAAGGCCATAACCAGCCTAGGTACGACACAAACTTTCATCATCGGGAGTAATTGCCACGATTCTAGGCTTGGTAAACAATATACTATATTCTGTTGTCAGTTGTCAATTAATATTTTGTTAACCATTCAACTTATTGGAAATATAAATACATAACATGTAACTTATCTTTTTATTTAAAAGTAAAACAATCTATTATTATTACTTTTATTAATACGTGTTAAAATATAAATGGTTTGTAATAAAAATTATAAATTTTAATCATATTAAATATAAACTTATTTATGGGTATATATTAACTTAGGGTTTAGGTTTTCGAAAAATACTTCGCCTTTTGGGTGTGGATTGATTCTGAAAGAAAAAAAAAATATTTAAATTAATAATAATAATAATAATAAATGTCTTTATTTATTTTTTAAATTTACATATCTGGGCGAAGTCCAGATAGATAAAAAATTATTATATGTATACATATATATTTAAATATTATTAGTTTAAAATGATATACGCTTTTAATCTATATTTAACTAGTCTATTTACATATTGTTATCCTAAAAATTTGGTTGGAATATAGAACAATATTTGTTTACTGTTGTTTATGCCTGCATGGTTGATATTAATATGATAAAAACATTGATTTTTTTTTGTAAAATATTATCCAATACAGGACGCATTTTTGGACCACGACTTTTCAGTCCGAATTCGTTACATTTTTAAACAAGGGGACGCGGCCGGCCGTCCATAAAGTATTCCAAACATTTTTAGCGTATTTTAGACCCTCCTCCCCTCTCTTACATATTGTAATCCCAAGGTGGCATGTCACAGGTTTGTAAATCTCATTAATTGTATTAAACAATTTTTTTATCCTTAAAATAACCTTCAGCGTATAATGTTATGTCATGTTCTAGTATCTTCGCAAATTATAAGTAGGTCATTAACGCTTTGACCGCAAGGGGTATGTAGGTGGTCTATTTATAAGTTTTTAAGTTGATCCCGCCTGTTTAGTTTACACGGGTTACTCCTATTCGGCCCTGCTAAGCTAAACCCCCGTATCTACAATATTAAGTAATAAAGAACAAAAGCATTAAAAAAAGGTTTAGCTTAGCAGGGAAGTATTTAGTTACTAATTAATGGTTATTAGTTACCCAGGGAAAAAGACGGGTAATATCGGATGATTGCGGATAAAAAACCAAGCTAGTTTTATGTCCATTTATATCTGTTTTCATCCGACATATCTGATTTAACCCGGCTTGTCGGTTTTTATCTGCAATTGCGGGTATAAATGTTATCCGCGAACGTCGGGTTTTATCTATTTAGTTCTATGTCTGCTTTCATCAAATACCTGTATTTGGGTTTATATCTGCATTCACCCGGTTTTATCTGATTTTATCCGCAAACATCTACTTTAATCCGCAAACGTCTGCTTTATCCGATTTCACCTGCAAACATCTGCTTTTATACGTGAAGATCTACTTTCATCCGCGAACATCTATTTTAATCCACAAACATCTGATTTCATCCGCAAACATCTACTTTAGTCCGCAAAAGTCTGCTTCATCCGATTTCACCTGCTTACATCTGCTTTAATCCACAAATATCTGTTTTAATCCGCAAAATGAGATGTTTGCGGATGACAGCAGATGTTTGCGAATAAAAGCAGATGTTCGCGGATAAAATGAGATGTTTGCGGATGAAAGCAAATGTTCGCGGATGAAAGCAGATGTTCGCGGATGATTGCAGATGTTCGCGGATAAAATGAGATGTTTGCAGATTAAAATAGATGTTTGCGGATAAAAGCAGATGTTTGGAGATTAAAACAGATGTTTGCGGATAAAAGCAGATGTTTGCAGATAGAATCAGATGTTTGCGGATTAAAACAGATGTTTGCGGATTAAAGGAGGCGTTCGCGGATAAATGCAGATGTTTGCGGATAAAAGCAGAAGTTTGTGGATTAAAGCAGACGTTCACAGATAAAAGCAGATCTTCGCGGATAAAAGCAGATGTTTGCAGGTGAAATCGGATGAATCAGACTTTTGCGGACTAAATTAGATGTTTGCGGATTAAAATTTTGGAGCTTTTCGAGATCGTAATATCGATAGTTATGTTTTTCGAATTTTCAGAGCTTAAAAACAATATTTCGATTCGTTTTTGGCCCTTTTAACTAAACATTTTTTTCGAGAAAACGGCTAAATTGACGGTTAATTTCACTTTAACCTTGAATAACTTTTAACCACGTTAAACGAAAAATGACTAGACCTTTATTGTAGAGCATTCTCTACAAAAATATTCCAATTTTTTTTAAATGAGTCGGGTAGACCCACCAAAAAATTTAAAAAAAAAACACAAAAATTTCGTTTAATTTGAACTTTGACCTTAAATTAATAATAATACTAATAATAATAATAATAATAATAATATTAATAATAATAATAATATTAATAATAATAATAATCTTTATTCATGTTAATATGTACAGTTACATTTACACAAGTCAAGGAAAAGATACAAATTAAACAAATTTTATATGTTAAAAGAAATTATACAATACAAAAATTTAAAATTTAAGGTAGGACATATACATCAAATATTTGATCATAGATCTAAAATAATAACATTATGCAGGGAAACAAAACAAGTAATAATTTTAATATTAAAATTTACAAAGACAGGTCACATGTTAAAAATTCGTTTAAACAATAAAACGCTTTAGTCAGTAAAAGTTTCTTAAGACGTGCTTTAAATTGTTTTAGGGGTAACTTTTTTATTTCATTCGGAAGTCTATTATAGAAATTAGGAGCAAAGTAATTTGACGCATCCCTAGATCTATGTATCCTATGAAATTCAATATGGATATTATTCCTACTTCTTGTTTGATAATGGTGTATGTTGTTTTGTGTAGTATAAATATTGATATTTGATTTTACATATACCAAGGCATTTAATAAATATTGACAAGGGACAGTTAAAACGTTTAAATCTTAAAACGATTGACGACAATCAGCTCTATAATTTAGATTACAAATAATTCTTATTACCCTCCTTTGAATCGAGAATACCTCAGCAGCTCTAGGAGAGTGACCCCAGATTAGAATGCCATAGGACAAAATGGAGTGAACTAGTCCAAAGTATGCATTCACTAGAGTACCCTGAGAAACAGATTCCCTTAGTTTTCTAAAGAGAAACATTTTTTTGGACAAGGTTTTACAGACCGACTCAATATGTGTTGCAAAGGAAAGCCTTGAATCAAGGTGAATCCCCAAGAATTTAACACTATTTTGTTCAATCTTGCAGTGATTTTTTAGGGTAAATGTAATTTTGACAGTTTTATCCGAGTTAAGACAAAGCTTATTTGCCCTAAACCACGATTCAACATCCAGCCGCGCACCCATGATATCCTCTTCAAGAACCTCAAAATTTTTACCTCCTCTACTTAATGTCGTGTCATCAGCAAACAAGACCAAATTGGTACTAGCTGAAGCTTTAGGTAAGTCATTAATGTAAATTAAGAATAATACAGGTCCAAGTATCGAACCTTGTGGTACTCCATATTTTATTTTTTGGTCTCAGACATATTGTTGTTGTGACTAACATATTGGTATCTATTACTTAAGTAGGATTTTATCAATAATATGCTTTCAGTGCTGAAATTATAATATTTTAGTTTATATATATATATAATAATATAATAATATATAATATTTTAGTTTATATATATTTAGTTTATATAAACAATATTGACGAGGATATCATGGGTTACGCAGTCAAATGCCTTACTCAGGTCCAAGAACAGAGAACTTAGATATTCACCCCTCTCAAAGCAACCACTTATTTCACTAATGAGAGTCTGTATTGCCTGTGTCGTAGATTTGTTTTTTTCTGAAACCAAACTGATAACTATTAAAGAGCTTACTTTAGAAGGATCAAATTGATCAAAAAATCATAGAAACCCTTTTTTGTAGAGCGTTTAATTCTTTACTTTACAGTACAACCCTATCGTTCTTTAGTTAAAAAAATCAGAAGGAACAAAAATAATGTTTCCTATGTTATTCTTATGGAAAATCGAAAAGTGCGATGCGGAGCATCTTAATTTTGAAATTAAGAGCTCATCTCTTCACACTGTGAAGTTTACAGGCGTGGTCCGAGAAAAAAAAACAAAAAAAAGGTTTTTTGAATCGCCCTAATATATATATATATATATATATATATATACCGTACCTTCATTTGCAAGCTAGGGAAAATACATTGTAACTGGACCAGATAAGTCTTAGTCAGCACGAAGCAAAAAACGTTGTAGAAATGATTTGGACGCGTGGACGAGTAAGCTAGCATGCACCGTAACAGTTGACCTTGCTTCATACATCGATGCTTTATTATTGTTTTGTATTTTGTGCGGTCTTGTAAAATTTGTTTTAGTACGCATGTCTCGACGACGCATCCAAATCATTTCTGAGAAGGTTCTCGCTTTGTGTTGACTGCGACTTATCTGGTCCAGTTACAATGTATTTTCCCTATGGTTAGCTTGCAAATGAAGGTACGGTATATATATATGTATATGTATATGTATATATGTAAATTTATTAAAAATGCATTTAGAAAAATAAATAAATAATAAAAATAATAATAACATAATACGCTATAGGGTTATTTTAAGTATAAAAAACACAATTTTTATTTGGTGTGACGCATGTCACACTTTGTCACAAACGGTATACCCCCTTCCCCCTGAACGTGTGACGTAATTTATGGACAGCCCCTAGTATGGGTGAAACAATTATCTTACCTCAAAGTTATCTCTCATAAAGTTGGAATGCCTGCCTCTAAATAAAGTTTTTAATCTTGGAGTCACTTTTTTTGGTGTATGTTTTTCATTGTGATCTTGAAGAGAGTAAACCTCATTGTTATGTAAAGATAGACGTCCACCATTTTTGCTGGGAGTAGGAGGTCCGGGTTTTTTGTATGATGTTGTTCCAAAATCTTTTCGTTGGCGTTTATCAGGTTTTTCTGATGGTATAAGTTTAGACATACTATCATCTAAACAAACAGACCCTGTCTAAAAATATAATTTTATTAAGATTGTCCAAACATTTTAGAGCCGAGTATGCATATTTTATACAGGGTGTTTACGGTCTTGTTATTTTATTTTTAAGGGTTGATTAATGCCCGGGTGTGTATTTTTGGAGTAATTCCTAACTTTGAGACCAAATCGCAATACAAGGCTGACTAGATAAGCATGCCATAAATTGGTTAGGTGGGCATAGGTACGCACTCGACTTGCATTTACCTCCACATGGTCAGAGACTGATGGGCTCGGTTCAACCGGCCCGCTAAAAATGTTGCGAAATTTGCCCACAAGTTCTAAAATAAAACGTTTCGATGCATGATTTTCACTTCTTTAACGGTCGTTCTCGTACCAAAGGGACAAAGAAAATATAATTAAATTTTCTAGTAGGTATTAAAAGGATAAACAAGTTCAGCGCAATAAGTAATACTTAAAATAAAACAAAATTTATTAATACTAAACAAAACGACTTATTCATAAATCAATCAAAAGCTGGCTGGCAAGGCATTCATCATTATTATTAAGGATGCCAAAAGATTGTCGAAAAGCCGATTGTGTAAACGATTTCAAAATAGAAAATAATCGCTTACAAGCAATTTAGGAAAAAGGCAAAGTCAATATATAATAGGGTGGGGCTTATTTTTAAAAAGTCCGAATTATGTCTGTCAACGGCCTAAAGAGTGATCACTCGCGATCGAAACCTATTTTGATCTGCGAAGTATTACTCTCCAGATGAGTTAAATTATACCGCTCTCGTAGTGATTCGATACATTAAGGATTCAATCCCAAAAGTATCAAAACACTTCTACTCTTTTACAGATTAAATACCTAAAAGATTTATATTCTAAATGATAACCATATAACTATGCATAGTTTAGCTACTTTTGAGATTTAATCATTTCAGAGTATTTATATTATTGCTCATTTAAGATTTAATCCTTTTCGGAACCCAGTGATTAAATCAGAGTAAAATTATCAGATGATATAATTAATTAAATACTGGTTATTTAATAGGGCTAAAAATTTATATTTATTAAATAAATATAAATTTTTAGTCCTATTAAATTAATAAATTGTAAAATTATATTAAATTAATTTTATAATTTTATAAAAATAATATTGTTAATTTTTAAAATTATTTTATTGATATATGGTATATATTTATTTAGCAAATTTTATAAAAAAGTGGTATTTATAATAACATTAATAATGTTACATTATAAATTACATTTCTCTATGATTAAACTATAATAATATTATGGTAATAACCATAAGTAGATGGGTATCATTAAAATGATTTAATAATAACAATTTAAAAACAAAATAATTGCCACCCTATTTATTAATGTTATTATTGCAAATAAACCTAGCAAGATGGGTATCTATAAAAAGGTCTTAATAATTACAATTTAAAAAATTATATTAATTACCCCCTTCTTCCCCGATAATTTTTTAAACTTTTTTTCTAAAGAATTAACGTGGCAAGATGGGTATCTATGAAATGGTGTTGTAATTACAATTTAAAAAAATATATTAATTACCCCCCTTCTGTCCCCTAATTTATTACATTTTTATATTGCAAAGTTAACATAGCATGATGGGTATCTATAAAAAGGTCTTAATAATTACAATTTAAAAAATTATATTAATTACCCCCTCCTTCCCCCCTTATTTATTAAACTTTTATTCTGAAGAATTAACGTGGCCAGAATTAACGTGGGTATCTATGAAATGGTATTAAAAATTACAATTAAAAAATTTATAATTACTCCCCCCCCTTCTGCCCCCTAATTTATTACATTTTTATATTCCAATGTTAACACGGCATGATGGGTATCAATTTTGCAACATAAAAATTTTATAAATTAGGGGGAGGAAGGGGGTAGGTAATTAATATATTTTTGAAATTGTTATTATTAAGATATTTTTGTAATTACCAATGTTATCAGATTAATTTTGCAATATAATTTTTTTTAAATAAGGTGGCAGGCAGGGGGTTATTATTATATATTTTTTAAATTGAAAATTTTAAGACCTTTTAATAACAATATAAAAATATCGAAAAATCTATAAAAATGTTTTACTAAAAAGTTAATAATAATCAATAATTATTAATAATAACTAATTATTAATTATTATTAATAACTTTTTAGTAAAAAAATTATCTTATATTGTTAATTTTAAAATTTCTTTGTTAAATTTTTTTTACTTCAAATGTTTAAATTAATGTTCTCTAATAATTAGTTTAATTAAAAAAGTAAAACTATTTTTAATAGTAGTTAAAACTCTTAAAAAGATTAAATCCTTACCGATCTCGTTGGGATTTGATCCCAATATGATCTGGTATGATTTAATCACTAAAGTATCAAAACTTTCTATACATCGGAGAATATAACTCGTGAGCAGATCGAAATTATTTTAAGGCGTTTAAATATCGCTCAGATTAAATCTCGCTGCCGTGTCGACTGTTCGCATCACCGATTGATTCAAACTGGTTTGACCGAATTTAACTCGCTCAGGGATCGAAACTAACTAAAAATGAGTTTAAATACTACTCCTAGTCCCTGTTTCAAACATATTCGAATACAGGGTAGGTATGATTTAAAAAATTCGGAAATTAATTAGATGGTGCGAATTTGAATAATTTCTTATTAATTTTAATAATTATTATGCTTTTAAGGAAAGTGTAAATGGAAGGATGTAAAAAAGTTTTCCCTTAAAAAATTTCAATTGCTCTGCGGCACAATTTCGCTAAAATTTCACAATTTTTTCATATGCCTTTAAATCAAGTTATAGGCCAGGGAGGATTAAAATTTCGATTTTACAAAAATAAGCCGCCCTAATATACTAATAATATAATGATAACCCAATTTTAAAGAGGGATATGCCCCCTGAAAGAAGTTGCGTAAAAACAAATGAAGCAATGATTTTTTTTTTAAGACATAATTATATTATGAACTGTTTCTTTTTTGAATTTTTCTTCTGTTGTTTTTGGCTGTTTATTGTCAGTATGTTCATAAAAAAAAATTAACAAATATTCCACATACTTACTCCTCTCCAAGGATGCGTTATGGCGCCGCGAGGCTCATATTTCAAAATAGTTCCCAGTGGACCAATGTGAATTAATAAAAATGTCGGAGTCGCATTTTTTTAAATTTTAGCCAGCCTACCGAGACCGGCCGCTAAAGGAACTCCGGCCGTTCTAAAATTTCTTTACCTCCCGGCCGTCCCATCCATCCCTGCACATGGTAAGTGCTGGATGGTCTATTATTAAATCAACTATGAGCTGTAAAACCTATTTAAAACAGTTACTAAATTACCTTTGTTAAGATCTGATACCGCCTTCTAAATAAATAAATCATTCAAAATGTTAAATATTATCAATTCTCAAGTTGTTTCATTAAATACTATAATATTGTATAAAAAGCTAAAAGACACCGCCGGAAAAGTGCTAATATCTAAATTTTCAACAGGAATTTGCAGACTCAAGATATAGTCTTAGATTTCCAGGGTGATAACTTCAATCAACGGGTGTAAAGCGGTGTTCATCATTTAGAAAATTTTAAAAATTCATATTACTTTTATCATCAAACTTTTATTAAGGCGTTTTAGCGTTAACAACCTTCTTTTACTATGTTTAATCACCCCGTAAAAATTAAATTACAAGATTGTAAACAGGCTGTATAAGTTCAAAATATTCAAAATAGCCTTCCAGGGCCCTAATAAAAAAATATAACATAAATAGTGGGTCTTCTAAACTAAACCTTTGTGGGCGTAAACAAGTTAGTTGGAAAATACGTGTTAGGAATGAGCGAATGGACACACCCGGTTAAAAGTAAAATCGTGCCTTTAGTGCACAAATAATGAAACGGTTTAAGAGACATCGAGGAATGTTGTGCGAATTGCTACAAATTTAAAGTCGAGTTCTTCGATAAATGCAAAGTGCTTTTGGGCATTTCAAGTCAAGTGTACCCCCCAAAAAGGCTTCACTTTATTTATTTCAAAGAAACTTGGTTAATTTGTTGTACTGTCAGAGTGCATAAAAATGCAAAAGGAGATAGTACAAATTAGGGGCTCAAAGTTTAGGGCTCAAATTTTTGGATCTAATTAGTTATTCGGCCTTTAAAGTTATAAATTTTAAAATGAATAAAAACGCGTTAGACGTTTTTTATAGTATTTTTTCTTTACTTTTTAATAATAATATTAAATAAAAGTTTATTAATATTTTTACAAAAATAAATAAATTTTCTTTTTCATTTTATAGCCTTATTCAGAACCCCGTAATTAGTGGAAAAAATTAGTGGTTTCAATTATACTTATAATTAACACAAAACGATCATTCACAATGCGCAAAATTAACATCTAAAATTAAGAGAATTTGCTAAAAAATTGTGCATTCTTCTTTACCTGACATAAACAATATTAATTATCTTAAAATAATATTTTTTACAACCATTAAAATAATATTTATATAACCTTACCTTCACTGGCAAATCTTCAAACTTTTTGCTTTTGACATAAAATATCCGCGCACATGCGCAAAGCCGCTTTCCAATAACAATTAGTGGTAAAAGTTTGGAGTTTGCAAACTTTTTCCACTAATTGAAAAGTACTTCCACTAATTTGTTGGTTGTGAACAACACTGTGTATATTCATAAGACAAACTTGTACGTTAATTGAAACCACTAATATATAATATATAATTTATTCCACTAATTACGAGGTTCTGAATGAGGCTTAACTTTTCTTAAATTTGGAAACTTAATTTTTTTTAGTTAGACTCATTCGAAAGCCCGTTCTTTTTTTCATAAATTATGTGTTCGGAATAATGGTAAACGAAAAATTAACAAGTAATCCAAAGGGTTAAAACAAACTGAACACGCTACACGGGCGCATTCATTAATAAATACAGGGTGCCCCAAAATTGAACCGTGCTTTTGGGATTTGATTGAGAGGGCTAAAACAAATTGAAAATTAGGAGTTTATAATTT